CACAAAGTACGAAGGCGATCGTTCCCAACAAACTGGAATCTACTGTTGCACGATGCAGTTAACACTGACTTTGATATATCTTGGTCTTGATACATTTTCGATTCAGATAAATTTTCGGATAGGAATCTAGTGGATATTTTATTGCACGGCTCAGTGCCAGTGAGTCATAGTATTCTCAGAGAGGGAATCTGATAAAGTTCACAACGTAATGTTTTACAGTAGGACGTAGGGTTTACAGCAGTGTTTGAATTTCTTGCGTTTGATTACCATCTCAAATAAGTACTGAAGTAAATAGATTAAATTCCCACTTTTTATCGCCACAATCACTATAAGCGTCATGTATTTCAGGAAGAACAAATATTTGTCAGTGTTAACCATAACAGTAACCTTAACTGAGAACTGAACTGTAAACGTCATCATAAACCCTAGTTCCCTGCAAATCATAAACCCTAAAGTTAACACGAACCCAAATCTGTTCCTAACACCAACGTCGAATTTACCCCCAAGCTTAAACTTTACCCTAGCCTACAAACTAATTCCAAACATAATTTCCTTGGAGTTTAGCGCAAAGCCACATTTCTTGTGTGCCGTTCGTGTTCCCTTGGCCGTAAAAATTATCCTTACCAAGTTCGCCGAACAACTTTATTGGCCTAAATATACGTTCAGATAAATTGAAAACTGTATGTTCTTTTGAAATTGTATACGATAAAGCACTCAGTCTACAAAAGAACTCCAATGTTAAAGGAAATTTGTTATTGGACGTTTGGCGTACCTTTAGCGTATTATTTTCAGGTTTTCAAGGGTAGCTTGACATATGATCTCGCCATATTGATTTCAGCTGCATTTTTGATCCAAAGGAGCCAAATTACATATGAAAACGCACAATATAACCTAATCTATTCGGCGAGCATACATAACCTCCCTCTGCCAAAATTACCTTAGAAATAAGGCAAATTAGAATTTGCGCAGAAAGCAGTATTTTCAGAATTAATGAGATTTTGTGT